GCTGGCGGTGGAGGCTTGGAGGGAAGCCTGGGCGCTGCAGCCGCCTTGTTCTGCAATTGTGGACCCTTTGCTGCCGCCGCCGGTTTACCCGACGAACCCGAGGTTTTCTTCGGCTCGGCCTTCTCAGGCTGAGCAGCAATCAGCAGCGACAGATCATCCGTATCGTTATCGCCCAGCAAATCAAACGGATTAAGCGTCGCCATTATCAACCTCAACAGCACCAAACTGTGGCTCTCAGATTATTCGTACACAAACCGCTAAATTAACTCTGTAATCGCCATTATGTTCATCATAATCGGCAGATCTGTGAACTGTAAATGGATAACTAAAGGTGTAGGGAAGCTGAGGATACAGAACGAAACCCTAGCCGCAACACACAGTGAAGAGTGAGGTTTATCTCATTATCTGAAAGCTCGATGTGTATACGATTAGGTTAGGATATTTACTTTTGCTTTATATATGCATACAAAACTGTATTTTCTACCAGAAATGATACCGACAAGTGGACTGGGCTGGTCGACCTGTTTCTCATTTCCAATCCAAAAATTTATTCTCAAACTTATTTTGGTTAAACAGTAATTTATCTTTAAGCGAAAAACTTATTTTCAAACTCAAAATAATATTCTACTCTACATCAACTTTTACAATTTTTAATATTACCCCATAATTTTATAACTTTACAAATCAAACCACACTATTATTTTAAATTTGATTTAAAATTTACGTGATAAAATTAAATATAGAGTTATAATTCGTATATATAATAAAATTGGAGAAATAAATATTCATTATAAATAAAAAATTACAATGCACGAGATGAAAAATAAAAATACATTGAAATAAACATACAATAATTATTGCTTACGAGTAACAAATAGATATTCTTCAATTAGTTCAACTAATTTGATAATATTAATGTCTTTTTTATGTGTCAAATTTGTAGTATTTTTAATATTAATGTGGTTTGTATTTTCTTATATGATCTTTAATACTTTTTCTAATAATTTCATTTCAATAATTTTGAAAAATTGTGTATATCCATAATAAATTCAATCCAACAATTAAATTTAAACTATAATAAAAACAATTTAATATATATATATATATATATATAAATTAGGTTAATAAATAACACATGTAAAAGTAAAAACAAAAAACCAAACTGGCAAGAAATGTAATTTGAGCAAACATTTGCATATATTAGGGGTGCACAAAATATGGTTAACCGACCGAAACTGAAAATTCGGTTTCGACCGAAACCAAAACCAAATGTTTGGTTCAGTTTTCGGTTTACAGTTTCTCAAAATTTCGGTTTTCGGTTTGTTTGGATATAATTTTTCGGTTAACCGAACCGAACCGAAAGCCGATATTATATATATATATATAGTTATAAAAGCCCAATATAAATATATAACGTGTGCTATGTAATGGCTGAGTAAAAGCTCACAGGCCCAAGCTAGGACCAATCCCATATATTAGAAATTAGAATGGATTTAATTCGGAAGATTGAACAGCGAAAAATGCACCTCATCTCTCATCTACTCAATTGACAGAAAATTACCAACTCCCAATTTCAGAAAATTTTGTCGTCTCTGCCCGTCCACCGCAGGCAACCATTGAATCACACACTCCGACTCGGTGTCTTCTAATCGCCGCTCGACGTTTTGGACTTCCGCCGCTCAAACAGCTCCCGCACAGACTCCACCCGGCACTCGACGGCGACGGTTGTCATCTCAAATAAGTTCACCACCCAGATTCCCTCGTACGAGGCACATCTCAAGTTCGTGTTTTTTTACTCTGTAAGACTGAAGCTCGCTTCTTTTTTAACTCGTGAGTATTTTGTTTCGATTGAACAAATTTGGTGAATTTCAATTTAAGCTCGTGATTTTTTTGGTTAAATTAATGTCTTTGATTTGAGGCTCTGAGCTGCAGGGTTATGGATTTTAAATTGTTATTTCTCCGTATTATCCGATAACCGATAACCAAACCGATAAACCGCCAGAATTTTCGGTTTGAAACCGAACCGAACCGAACCGTAGATTTCGGTTCGGCTTTCGGCTTTCATACGGGACAAACCGAATTTTCGGTTCGGTTCGGTTCGGTTTCGACCGAATGTGCAGCCCTAGATATGAACAGTTGGACGCAAATTTGCGTTTGAGGAGAGAGAAAAGAAGACAAGAACGCATTTTGGGTTGCTTTTTGCGGTTCGATTGGAGAGATTTTTTGGGTTTGGGATGCGTGGAGAGAATTTTTGGGTTTGGGATGCGTTATGCGGTACGGTAGGAGATGGTCTAAGTAAGTAGGATTAGTGCTTGTCAGTCCAACTTGGGCTTTATTGAGTTTTTTGTGACATAAGTTTGAGTCTTTTAAAAAAAAAAAAAAATCACTCGACTATACAAATTTTTCGAAGCGATTTCGAAAAGTTCAGTCATAGAGGGTCAAACTCCGTATGAGATTCTTTACGGCTATGCTCCTCTATTGTCTCATTTGCGTGTTTTTTGTTGCCTTTGCTATGCTTATAACCAAGACTGCTCAAAAAGCATCATAAAGACTTTCATTGTACTACCTAGCATGGTATAATATACTTATAGAGGCTTTTCATAGGCTAAAGACTGATCATAAGCATAGATCTAGCTCTAGCTTCTATCCTTCCCTTGTAGAGTTATATATCCAGATCTCGATTTCCACACCTCCAACCTATAGGTTTGATGTTGACCCCGAGGCAAAGCCAGTTATGCAAAAAAGAGGACCCATTCACTCCCGAGCGCAGACACCAATGCAGAGGAGAGCAAAGCGAGACTCGACTTCCTCTATGACTGAATTTCGTTTCGCTTCGTTCCCTCTTATTCTATCTCTAGGACAAGGCTAAACCTTCTACCAAACAAAACTTATTTTAATTAAAAAAAAAAAATTAAAGTTTATTTAGTCATTAAACATAATCATAGTGATGTCATCTAATAGAAAATGTGATGTAGGTTATGTTAGATAAACATATAAGTTAGTTTGTACCTTATTTGATTAACTTATAAATTTCTTGTATTCAAATAAGTTTGGTTTGATAAGAAGAGTTTAATTAAAAAGCTCAAACTTATCCCATAGACTTTTTTTTGTGGTATTTTATTTTTTTGTCTGAAAACGCACAAGAATCAAATTGCAAACCGATAATGGTACTCCACTGCTGCAAATGACGGTAAGAGCATGCTTGTTTATGGAAATTTTTGGTTTTGTGAGATTCTTTTGTTTGGTTTGGTTAGTTTTGAAAAAAAATGGTATAATTAGTTGGTAGTGGATATACTAAAATAGTATTTAAAATAAAATAATTAAAATTGATTTAATGTAAAAGAGGAGAGAGATGATATGGTGTGATGGTTAGTTAAAATATTGTGAGTGGATGAATAGTGAATTAAGGTTGATGTGGTGTGTATGAATGATTGATTGATATTATTTAATTATATTGATAATAATTGATGATAGTGGGGTTGAGTTAAAGTTGAGTTAAAAAAAGTGATTGAGTTAAAATGTGGGAAATTTTTTGAAAAATTCCATAAACAAACATGCTCTAAGCAACCAAACAACAGTACAGTTGTGAGTAGACCACCGTTTCTCAAAAATAAGAACGAAAGAAAAAAGAGGTTTCTTATTCTCCCTCTGTTAGTTAGCTTCTTTTTCTTTTCCTATGTACGCCCAATTTTAAGTTTCGTTGATAGAATTTGGTGCTTCTTAGCAGTTGTAGTGAATTTTTGTATTGTGTGGAGTTTCATATATTTTGGGGGAAAAAGTGAAGTTTAACTGATGTTTTCTTAGAGTAGGTCAATGTTGTATGCAGTTTCTCCATTGAGTCCCTTTACGAGCAGCAGCAGCAGCAGCAGCATCTGTTACCCTAGAATCAATTTTCATCAAAAGCGTTTAGCTTCAACGAGGCTTAATAAGGCCTCGGCCTCAGCGGGTCCCAATGGAGTGAAGATCGAGTACACTCCATGGCTGATTGTTGGCTTGGGCAACCCTGGAAACAAATATCATGGAACTCGACATAACGTAATGAGCCACTACCTTATATTCTTCCCTTATTCTGGATGTGCATCTGATTACTATTCAACTTTTTTTAGTTAGGTTGGGTTTGAAATGATAGATCGTATCTCTCAAGAAGAAGGCATTTTGATGAACACTATACAATCAAAATCATTGATTGGCATAGGTGCTTGATAATCTGTCCCTTTTCTTCATTACTTGCCCTTTTCTTTCCTTGAAGAGTAGTGTATGACATTTCGGTGATTATAAGCCATTTTTCGTCATGTACTTGAGAGGTCCAGTTTATTGATTGATATTTTACTAACATGTTCAAACACAACCAGTGCAGGTTCCATAGGACAAGTCCCCGTTTTGTTGGCCAAACCTCAAACATATATGAACTTCAGTGGAGAATCGGTTTGTCTTCCTCTTTCTTCTTTTTTTTGTTTCCAAAAGTTGCATGATGATTTTTGTATTTGAGCGCTATGTTCATTTTGGTAATTGATGAAACATATTTCACGCTAAGACAGTAGGCCTCAGTTGTACAATGTGGAGTAGTCTCTGATTAAGAATGCCATCATAACTTTCTAATTAAGAATTTGTAAGAACAATGCTTGTCGTTTAACGTGTTTCGTAATATGCTTCAAACTCTGATTGCAGGAAGATGAAAGGATTAGAAAGAACAGGCTTGCACTACTACAAAAAATATCCAATTTTCCGAGGGGAATCGTGGACCTCTCAATTTTGCCAGGCTTCTAAAACCATTTGTTTTCGTTTGTAGGTTTTGAGTACCGAGGAACGAAAATTTCGTTCAATAATCCAATCATTTGTTATTGAGATAAAAAAAAAAAATGGCAGGTGACTTTTGCCGTCAATGTTGGCGCATTCGGTTCAACGGTAAAAAAAAAATCTCTAAAGAAAATGCTAGTGTGCCGAGGCGCGTAATAGCAAAATGTTGTGGTACAAATAATTATTATTATATCAAAATTTATTTAAAGTAATCAGCAGAGATCAAAGTATTTTGTAGTCCTGTAAAAATTCGAATATTCAAGACGAGTAAATATAGCTTTTTAATTCCCGATGGATTTGCAGTTTCACTGAATCAAAACTGACAATCATACATTCAAACACACGAGAGATTGAGACTCATGGGTATTGGTTATAATTATTCAATGGGGGCAATTGACACACAATGTCTCTTATATACAATTTTGGGTTGTTAACAAAATGACACTAAGAAA